GGGCGAGCACAGAACTTTAGTTTTTACTTCAATCCTATTCAGAATTTTAGCTTTCAGTACTGCTGATGCTGCTTGAACTCTTCCAAATTGTTCACTGAGAAAGCTGAAAATATTAATGTTTTATATTACATAGAATCATAGAATCATAGAGTTGGAAGAGACCACAAGGGCCATCCAGTCCAACCCCCTGCCATGCAGGAACTCCCAATCAAAGCATCCCTGACAGATGGCCATCCAGCCTCTGCTTAAAGACCTCCAAGGAAGGAGACGCCACTACTCTCCGAGGGAGTGTGTTCCACTGTCGAACCGCCCTTACTGTCAGGAAGTTCCTCCTAATGTTGAGGTGGAATCTCTTTTCTTGCAGCTTGCATCCATTGTTTCTGGTCCTATGTTAGAAAGAAGTCTGTGATTATAAGGTATATCCTATATTATGGATTGCAGTGTACATCTAAGTTATAGGAATGAATACAAATCTAATAATTCGTATCACCTTCTGAGCCATGTCCCCCTCCATTGCTTTCATTAGATCTTCTGCATTTCCATTAGATTTTGTTGTAGTTCTGTTGTTATGTAAATAGAGTAAAGGTAAAGGTATTCCCTGTTGACAAGGTTGTCAAGTCATGTCCGACCATAGGGGGTGGAGCTAAGCGGAAGAGCCAGCATTGTCAGAGACTACTCTGTGGTCATGTGGCCAGCATGATGGCACAGAACACTGTTTACCTTCCCACTGAGAAGTGGTACCTATTTATCTACTTGCATTTGCATGCTTTTGAACTGCTTAGGTTGGCAGAAGCTGGGACTAGTGATGGGAGCTCACCCCATCATGTAGCACCCGGGCCTCAAACGTGACTGCTATTTTAAAGATACTCTATTATCTTAATATTCAGTTATAGCTGCAGCCTGTACCTTTCTTGTATTTGGTGATAGGCCTTAGTGATAAGTGCGTGGTAAGGCTATAGAAGTGCTTTTAGTTGGAAAGGTTTGCTTCCATTTTTTCTTTCCTAAATTCATAGGTGCACTGGAATGCTATGGAAACCTTGATAGGAAACGGAGAGGAATCTTGTCTATTTGGTTCTTAATTTTCTATTCACTTAATGTAAGTCTTTTCCTACTGCTGATATCTTTGTCTCCATTCTGATTTTTACAAACTATTTTATATGACAACTGTAAACCATTTCTTTTGCTACTTTTCAGTGAAAAAATGGCTTCCAAAGTGGCCCACAGCAATATAAATCTGGTGCAAATGACAAGTGAAATCCAATACAAAGTGGATCTAGGTAGCAGTTTGTTAGCTGGCTCCAACTGTGATTCCTGACTTCCATTCCCTGTTGATGCTGCATTGATGGCAGCTTGGTGGTGGTGGAGAGGAATGTTCTTGGTTGGATCTGAATGAAGACATGATGAAGGAGATCCTGGCTATTGTCTCTCCTCCCTGATGGCCCCTACCATTAAAGAAAAAAAAGGGGGGGATCAAAAGTGCATTTCTCAGACATCAGTGCTTTTAGTTTTAATGTAATGCATTTTAGATTTCAGTTTTCTTTCAGGCTCAATAGAAGAAACAAGTTGGTTAAAAGGATGGACATATAGTTCCTAGCTTTCTGCTTCTGAGCTCCTGAGGCAATTGGTTGCATTGCCCTGTTAGACTTTGTCCAGGAGCTTAAAAGATTGTGAGGAAGTTCTTCTTTCTAAAATAGTGGCCTACTTGGACTTCTCATTTTGGTGGATCCTTTTAAGGGCCATCCTACCTATGCCTAGGTCAGATTACCTGAAGGACATGGCCAGGATTCAGTAGACTGGTGTGTGGTGGAGGAAGTGGGAAAAGCATTATTATCCTAGTCCACTGAGAATTTTGATTTCTCTCTGGGCCCTTTCCCTTTCTGCTGATAGATAGAACAGCACTGAAGTCAGAACCCAGAAGTCAGCTGCCATGATGGGGACAGTTTGTTTAATTAATTGTTTTGCCTGATTTCCATAACAAACTGGTGGCTTGTCGTCAGTGTGGCTTGCTCATTCATTATCGTTAATTAGATATGGATCTCCTGGAAGGCAGCAGAGAGTGATGGACGAGCCTCCTGACACGTGCTATTATGCATTAGCATTTTCTCAATACATTCGATAGATCATCTCTCTTCTCTTTTGGAAGATATTTTAAATAAAATATTAGCTGATCCATCAGTGAGATTTATGTGTGTCTCCCTCCCGCTGCTCCTTTGCACCACTCTCTCAACAAACCTGGGCAGGAAGTAGTTATTTATTTCCAGCACCCCCATTTCAAAGCCTCAAGGCTTAAGAAACATAGAAGGGACCTCTGTGTCCTCACTTGCTCGTCTGAACCCTGTAGTCCACTGACATCATTACTATCCTTGTGAAGCAAGGGGATTTGTCAGGAAACAGTGGCAGTCCAAGGTGCTAAGCTCAGCACTCTACCCATGGTCTCTTATCATTCCCCTTCCAACTCCCCTCAACCTCTTACTGTGGCTTTGTTTTTATTTTATTATTTATTATAAGTGCTGTTGTTGCTTGCCTCTTGCTTTAAGCCAGGCTTCCTTTCACAGTTGTCATACCAAAGCTCAGTCCCAGAGCAAATAAAAAGCTAGTTGTATTCTTGCTGGAGGATTGCAGTGTGCTGTTTGTGTACATGTGTACTTTCTATCAGTGTCTTCTTGAACCAGGTTTTATGTTCACTATTGTGATAGATTCTTTTGCTTCAGAATTCAAGGCTGGAAAATGCTGATGCCTTTGTACCGGGGATACTGTTCAGTTCTGGAGTTCTGGCTACGATTGGTGGCAGTAATTTGCCTTTCATGTGGAACCTTCTAGACAGGAAGTGAGGCTAGGAATAGATTTTTCCCCAAAGAAGCCCCAAAAGGAACTGTGTGGATGCCTGTGTGCGCACACATGCATGTATGCATGCCTTCTGTAGATTGACCTGTCTGCACGATGTTTGCACACTTGCACTGATGGCGCCACCTCTACTTTCCAAGTCAGCAGAACTGTTGACCTCCAGACCCTGATTTCCAGCCTTTCTTTCATTTAAGACTGGGGCCAGCGTAACTCTACCCCTCAGTCTGTGGCCTCCTAATGTAAGCCCTTATAGATCTGTTTGGGCTGTGCTGTGTCACCCTCTCTCAGTCCAGGAAAATGACAAAATAATGCAGCTGCCCTGACTTCATTACCAGAATGTTTAACAAACCTGACACCCTCCTTCACTGCACTAAGTGTGACGTTAACCTTTGACCTCCCTGGGCTGTATTGACAGTGTCAAAGGACAGCTGGGATGGGCACATACCAGTCAATCTTAATTGGTTTCTCAGCTGGGATCAGGCAACCATTACAAACCAAGCAGGTGGCTTGAAGCACTGCTAGCGCAGCAGAAATAAGGACATGGATTTTACCTGCACTGGCTAATCCTAAAATCAGTGTGGTTAGCTGTCTCACACGTTAAAAAAAATCCCTTGTGCTTCAAATGGGGTATCCCACCACCCCATCAAGGCAGCTCAAGATGTGACAATATCACAGACAAACTGCATTGTTCCTAAGAATCTAGGCCTCCCCTATCATTTCTTTAAAATATGGGCAAATAGTTTTAATCCTGCAGATGTTCATCCTCTGTAAAAAGGGTTGATCTTGTCACAAAGCTCAGCAAATAGTTATTCTTAATTCACATCTGTTGACAGCCTTCAAATGGGCTTCGTATTGTAAAAGCATGACACAGGATATAATAGTTCCATATTACTGTGATCACACGGAATTACAGCTCTTTCACGGTTGCAGGGAAGATGGAGACATATTGAAGGGTGCAGGATGGGGGAATCCAGAGGAAAAACTGTTTTGTAAAACTTTGAAAGAGAGAACAGATGTAGTTTCATTTTGATAAGAGCAGAATGGGCAGGGATGTAATAACAGCTTTTGATGTTTTTTAAAAAATGAGGGATAAATAACCAAAGCTAACAAAAATGGTATACCTGCAGGACTGAGTTTGTTTGCTTATAGCTGGGGTAGATGTAAACATTGAGCACTATTTGATGCTTATCTGATCATAGTTGAACTGACTATGATGCGGTTGGAGATGCTCATCCCCATTTGAAACCAGTAGTTGTGTGTGACAAGAGCTGAATTGTATGTAGTATATTTGTAGTAGTTTCTATCTCCTCAATTTTGTAAGCCCATAGAGGATTCCTAAAGAATGGAAAGTTACTAGGAGCCAATTTTGAGAGTAGAATGAATGGACTAGCGAGAAAAAGTAATGGCTATCCTGGAATAGAAATTTGAAAGTTGTCAGATCATGGTGGTTGTATTCACCAAAGCTCTCTATGAACAAGTCTCTTGTTCTGTTTGGTTTGGTGTCAGGTTTTCATTTTCAGTAATGGTACTTCGGATTAGGTAACATATAATGACATAAAATTATGACTTTTCCCCTTCACCCAGGCCTTTTATATAATGCATAATAACTGTATTAAGAAACTATTTAATAAATGTATTACCTAAATACATTCTGGGTTTCTTGGTTTTAAAATTTCTGTTTTAACTCTGGGATTGTTGTCAGTCTTGTTTCTTCTTGTTGTGTTTATGCCATCTTTGACTTTATTGGCCATATTGGAATTTAAATTGTTTTTTATACTAGGCCAAGATTCTGCGTGGGACATGTGGAGTGTAACTGCTCAGTGCTTGCAGCTCCTTGCCTTCCTAGTCCCTTGCAGTAGCCAAGCCCCATGGGGCCACTGCTGTTGCCATGTGAATGCCTTTTCTGGCTCCTGTGGTTTGTTATAGATACAGGCAGACCTATGCAGAGGAGTCACCTCCCTCCCTTCCACCCTCCCCTGGGCCTGGCAGCTGCAGGGGAGGTTGGTTGAGGTTTTGGAAGGGATATGAGAGGGTAGAGAACAGTGTCTTGAGCCCTGTTCAAAAAAGAACATGGACATGTAACAAATAAGATGCCAGCACTTTTTATTGTAAGCCTCCCAGAGAAATTTGTTACGAGATGGCATACATTTTGTAGAGCCAAAGTGGCATAGTAGTTTGAGAACTGGACTACAACTCCAGAGGCCAGGGTTCAATTCCCAGCGCGACCATGAAACATACCAGGTACCTTAGGCAAGTCACACGCTTTCAGCCTCAGGGGAAGGCAATGGCAAATCTCTTCTGAACAAATCTTGCCAAGGTGATAGATTCACCTTAGGGTCGCCATAAATTGGAAACAACTTCAAGACACACAGCAACAAAGCACACATTTTATTTGTGTCATAAAATAAATCAAGTACCTTTTATCATGCAAAATTATTAAAACATAATATTTGGATTGTACAAAGTCACTGGCAATTTGATAGTAAGATAATATTCTTAATCCCATTGTTTTCCAGATTGGGAAGAGAAATAATTCGTTTTCAAGCAATTAGGGTTATTGGTTAAATGCACAAAAGAAGCTGTATGGACATAGATACACACAGACAGTAACTGTATATGTTAGAACCACCGGTTTCACTGCTTTACCCAGTTTTCCTTGTTCCATGGCACTATACTGTGCAGTGGAAAGAGTACCAGCTCTTATTCTCTCTTCTTACTTTTCGAGTCAGGAATATTCTTTACTTGAACATCATGTTTTAAGTGATCCCTCATTGTTGTTTTGTTTTGTTTATTTGTATCCCACCTTTTCCCCAGCCCTGGGGCTCTTGCAATGTCCCTGCTTCTCAAGGTGCAATTTGTTATTTAAGATTTCCCTGCAACTGTAGCCATGTGGCTGCCAGAAACACTTGAGTTGAGGTCTGTCAGCTACTCAGTCTTCTCTCCCACACCTTGAATCATCACAGCTAATTCAAAGGCTTTCCTCTTACTCTTGCACAAAGACCTGTTTCTCTTAATGTAATGTAAAATGTTACTTACCTTCAATTGTCCCCCATGTTAGAATCCTAACAGGCCAAAGTGAGATTCTTGATTTTTCTTTTTGGAGTATGTCTTAGTTTGGGGGCATGTAGTTCTAATAATTTGAACATGCTAGATTTGCAAATGTTGATTCTGGACTTTAAAATGTAGATTTATGGATTTTATTGTAAGGAGAAATACAGCGATAAAGCCTTCCTTGGTATGTGAATGGATACAGGAAAGATATCATCTTTTCTGTTTCTCACACAGTATTAAGGGTGCTGGAGCTCTGTCAGTTAAAAGGAAAAAAACTGTCAGGCCTATGCCTAGCTGCTAACACAGAATGGATGCATCCCAGGCCCATTGTGTGACAACACCCAATAGCACTGTTTAGATTTTTAAGGGTGTATTTCTCAGTATCCATTATCATGCTCTATACCAGGGGTAGGCAACCTTTCCCCTTTAAGGGCCGAGGGACTTCAGCTCCCAGAAGCCTCAGTCATGTTGGCCAATAGTCCCATGTTGGCCAATAGCTCCTGGGATTCTGGGAGCTGAAGTCCCTCGGCCCTTAAAGGGGAAAGGTTGCCTACCCCTGCTATATACTTTCTTGTGCATAAATGTCATGGGGAGTAATGGAACTGGAGGACAGTTAAGGGGGCTGGGAAGTTGATAGAGCTGATATTCTGGCCTTTTGCAAAGTATTTTTAACACATCAAATATGTAGGTCTTTAAAAAACACACCAGGAATACTGGTTTCCCATTGCCACAGTTTTTGGGAGCAACCACACCATAGGTCTACCACTTAGTCTACCTTGCTTGCAGCAATTTCACTTGCTTTAAAGAACTGTTCTTGCCAGCAGATGTCAGCATTGATCCACATGGGAGACTCAGCAACTCTTCTAGTCTGCATTTTACTGTACAGCATAGGATGATGGCAATACAGCAAAGTTGTGGGGTGTCATGAGGTGGTCCGACTTCACTTTGATGGATTGTGAAAAGGTGTTCTGGCCTGCCAAATTCAAAGCCATTCCTTGTGTGATCTGTTTTCATTTGAGACACACACTTGTTTGGGTCAGCCAGTCTACTACTCCAGAAGAATGAGACAGTGAATGTCAATTCCTAGAATGCTCTCTGCACTGTACCTTTCTTACTACACATAGATACATGCCTGATACTCTTCATATTGTAGTATAATGATCTGAAATCAGAACCGGCTAATACAGGGGTAGGCAACCTTTCCCCTTTAAGGGCCGAGGGACTTCAGCTCCCAGAATCCCAGGAGCTATTGGCCAACATGGGACTATTGGCCAACATGGCTGAGGCTTCTGGGAGCTGAAGTCCCTCGGCCCTTAAAGGGGAAAGGTTGCCTACCCCTGGTCTAATATGTTCTGTGGTACCATGTTCTGGCTAAGTGATAGAAATGTGGAGCATCTGGTAGGAGGGGTCTGATGAGGAGGATTAAAGCAGGGCCTCTTGATGGAATTTGACTATGGGGTGGACATGAGTAGAGGCCTGTGGCTGTGTTGGCAGCAGGGCTTTTAAGGGCTGTTCTTGTTCAAATGACTCTGGCTTAGAAGATGACTGTAATGGCTCAGTTCCATGATACTGGGCATGTGAATGGGAATAAGGAAGATGCTTTCTTTATGACCCGATTCAGTTTTTATTATGGTGAATTAGATCTTGGAGCTGACTCCCTAGCCTGCAGTCACAAGGGCTTAGGTGAACATATATCAGCAGGAAACACAGGGAAGTGTGCTGGGGAAGTTTGATTTTTTAAAGAAGCAGGGCATGTGGTTGAAGATTGAGAAAGGATAAATGGACCGTTGTGCTTGTCTCTTGACCTTTTCTCTAGGCATCCAGGCCTGGTTTGCTGGAAACGTATTCCCAAGATTTAAAATGATCCTGCTGCTTTAAATTTCCCGTGGAATTGGCAAGAAATCTGCTATATCTGGCAAATCTAGTACAGAATCCTCCTCCAGTCTTGGCTTTTGTTGTTGTGTTATTGTGGATTTGAATAAAAGCAATTAGTATAAATGCTACTGTGTTTCACTTGTTATAGATATGTCAAATAGGTTGGTATACCAATGTTCATATCAATAATTGTTGCTCACATTGGCTGAGATCCTGGTTGACAGTGGTAGAGCACACAGCCACACTAGCCAATCTGGGATGCCAAAGGCTGTGCTTCAGTCCTTGGCTACATATAGCAGCTGTACAGCACCACAGCCAGTCAGTAACTGGGCAGGCAGATATACACATAGGCACTATCTAGCAGCCATAAGTAACTTGGGAAGAATTGCCTCTCCCCTCACTCCACTCTTCAACAATAAGCAGCAGGATCATCTTCGGCTAGGGCTTGGGGGTCGGGGTCGCTGGTCTGGGCAGGAGGACATGAAACTGTGTGGGCAGAGTGTTATGCCCTACCTGCTGTATGTAGGATCCCAGCCATTGGATATCTCTTTGCACACTACATGTAAAAGTAAACATACCATACTTATGCTGGCATAAGCAGCAGTTGTGCCAGTATATGTCACCAAGAGGATTTTCCTCAGAGACTTGACAATAAGAGAGGTTGGGAGACTCAGGCCTTCCTGAAATCCATGTTTTGAAAGTCCTATCTGCTAATCTTAGAAGTATTGCCAGGGTCAGGGCTGGTTCCTAATATTAGGCAGATCAAAGTGCTGTGAAAGAATATTGGATGCTTAAGATTTGCGATGTTGTGGAAGGGCACCAAATGCCCAATTTTTAAAACTTAATTACTGTATATTTGTTACCATATTGCTTCATTTGCCAAAATGGTCTGAGTGGTCACAATACTAGGCATCTTATTTTGAGAGGAAGTGTTGTTTTCTGATTTGCAAAACAGCTTGCAAGGGTCCTGGCCATTAAGTAATCTGTTTCCTTTTCTGCTGGTGGAAATTCACTTGGCATGTGTACAATGTCATTTTTCCATGGCTTTTCATAATTTAGATTCTACCAATATCATTTTAAAAATGAAATGAAATTTGGGCTAACCACAGTCTTTCAGTGTTGTCTATAATCTGCTAGTGAAGCTAATGTATAACCATGTATTTCCCTCAACAGTAGGAGGTAGAAATGTAGGTTGCAATGAATTGCAACGCCCTAATGAAAAGACTTTGCTTGTACCTTCAAAGCTTCCAAGTATGAAATCCAGTGGTGTTCTTGTGACATCACAATGAACAGCAGTGATGAATTGGATTCTGCATGTCCCCTCCTAAACCCCATGCACACTTGCAAAATCTGTTTTGGAGAGTTAGTGCATACAAGGCAAGGCCAGGGAAGTTGTGTAAATGGAAGCCCACTAATATGGCTTTGGATGTTATGGAACCCTAAATCAGAAATAGCATGCTGTAGTTGAGAACATCCCACCATGGCACTACCTTTCCATGGTGGTGGGGTTGCTTACTCCTGTGAGGCAAGAGGTTGTGCTTGTGGTAGCAGTGCTACTGGTAGGATCTTCTATATTAGATGGACTTTTCTGGAGGCACTAGACTAAATGTGCCAAACAGCTACTGGGCAGCAGTAATAACGAGAGGTGACACTGGTGGAGGATCTCAAAGAGATAATGGCAGTGGTACCATCACTAATATTTGTTAGTACTATGCAGAGAGAGGCATAGTAAACCCCTTTTGAATGTCTTTTAATATGAAAATCCTATGATGAGACAATCCAAAATGAAATAAGAATAGTGCTTGGGGCACAGCAGAGGACAACTACAAGTAGTGCTGTGGCTAATGATGCAACTGGATTCAAACCAAAAAGTGAAAGGAAAATCCGAAGCTGCACAACACATAGGAACATAGACTATGAGAAGTATGAATCAGGGAAAGCTAGACATAGTAAAAGTGTATAAACTTTGTAGTACTTGTACGTGAGTGAGCTGAAGTAACATTTTTAGTTAGATAATTACATAGTGTTTTATTCAGGTAATGAAAATCTAAGAAATGGGCTGGCATTAAAAGTGAGGAGAGAAAGCAAAAGCAGTCAAAGGAGATAATGCAAAGTCTTACTGAATAATATCAATAAGGTTTCAGAGAAAACCTATCAATAAAACCATAATCTAAGTTCATACTCTAACAATAAAGTCAGGAAAGAAAAAAACTGAAAGATTCTATGTTGGAGACCAAGAGGAAATTGACCACACACCAAAATAGGACTTCTTGTTAACCACAGCTGATTTGAATGCAA